TACTCAAGGAGTTTCAACCTGGACGGAACCATTCAGAACCCGACATAGGAAGCTGTCAAATCCAAACAAGAGGAGAAAACAAATTCTTTTTCAAATAATTGTTTTCCGTCTTAAGGGGGGAGGTGTTATGATCCCGTACTCAATATTCACATTTTCAAATTTTTATAAACAAAAGACTGGCGACGAACTCGAATTGTTCTTCTTTAGAAGCGAAGCTTCTAAAGACTCCTTCTTTTATTTTATTTGCAAGTGTTTGCTAGTTCCCATTGTTGCTCGTTCGAAACAGTTGACTGACGAAAGACCAAAGTAATATAGGCAAGCTACACCGCTTGGCGTCGGTTCATTTGATTTTTAGTCTAGCTGTAATAAGTTCTTGTTTATTAATATTAGTTTTGTTTGTGATAGTTTTAAGTGCTTGTTCATTACTTACAAAAATAAAGAACGAACCGAATATAACAATATATATATATGTATTTACATACATGTAATTAATAATAACAATCAGAATGATAATAATAATGATAATAATAATGATAATCGGAATTATTATATTCGAATGAATTTCAAAAAAGCAAATTCTTCACGGATTCACATTTAAAAAAAAAAAAAAAAAAAAAAAAAATTTCAATGACAAGGGTCATTGTTTTAAATGATCCAACAACTACTTAAGTAAAATAAATTTTTATTTTATTTTATTTTATTTTAATATAATAATAATAATAATAATAATAATCACGGTCATCCCTTTGTCGTCTTATTTCCTGTCGGTCTTCAATGTAAATTTTTTAAACAAATGAAAAACTTAAAAGGTTTGGTGAAGTATTTAGTTTTCTGGTACTAATTTGGGGAGAACAAATTTTTACTCGTGGCACACGCACCCCCATACTCGCGCGTAATTTATTAAAAAAAAAAAAAAAAAAAATTCCCACTATAAATTATATATAAATATATTAATTTTCAACGTAGGAGTGGTGTCGATAAAAGTCTTTTTTTTTATTCGGTTGAAGGCTTCTATTGGTTGTTATCTCAATAGACCGTGACCGATATGATAACCCATACAATTTAGCCTTAGCCCCCTGCCTAGAATTAGTTAGTTATTCGTACAACATTATTATTATTATTATTATTATTATTATTATTATTATTTAAATTAAAATTTTTTTCTATGTATTATTAAATAAAATACATTTTTTAAACCCATATCTATTCTCTCTCTCTCTCTCTCTCTCTCTCTCTCTCTCTCTCTCTCTCTCTCTCTCTCTCTCTCTCTCTCTCTCTCTCTCTCTCTCTCTCTCTCTCTCTCTCTCCATATATATTTCTTTTAATTTCTAACATTTCTTAAATCCGATTCATCAAACATTATTATCATTATTATTTAACGCGCGTAAATCCGCACTAATATATATATATATATATTTTTCCAACCGTCAGATACATTTATTTTATTCTTTTATAATAAAACAAATGATTCCTGTCAAAATTATATTGGGCATAAATACACGAATGATATATTATACTCGAAATAATATCATTATCATTATTATTATTATTATTCTCACACGTTTCATAACGTTTTGCTTTTTTTTTTTTCTCGAAAATGTTTGCGGCGTTGAATCGTATTTCTAGCAATTAATCGTTCGTTACGAATAAAATAAATAAATAAATAAATAATGATTTTTTTTACTCTATGGAAATTAATCGTTATGACGCGACGCGTTTAAACCTAGCA